TTTACATGAAGTCAATAAAAAGCATTCATGCAGATTTATCCATAAGTAATAATAACCCCTTCAGTTTTCAGGACCCTGAGGTGGGGAGTCTGACCAGCTCTTCATGGCTGTTTCTCTCATGCACAGCATTTCTTGGAATTTTAATTTCTGCCACTGTAACAAATTGAAGCTCCTCATCAAACTGTTCTTAGAATAAAAACTGAGCATAAATATTCTATGGTAAATCAGAATTATACTTGTTGCTTGTCCTATGAGACACACTGCTGAAGAAGAGTTATTAGTTAGTAGCTTGGATGACAATTATACAGAGATATCAGAGCTGAAGTTATAAAGCAGAAAAACACACCAGCAACTTTGACATTGGTGGTGCACTCACACATCACTGTTGCTGGTATATTGTTTCTTATGGCTTTAGAGGTGTGGTGGTGAATCTACGGTACATCTAAGGCTAATGATCTAATACTACAGAAATGTTTATTTGGATTTTTACAGACTGTACCTGCAAACAGGCGCATCTGAAAGTCTATATCCTGCAAATCACAACAGTAAAGAATACACAGCTTAAATCAAGGTTAAGAATAGGCAAACTAAATGGATGACACTAAAGCAATGCAAAGAAAATCAAAAGTACAATGAGAAAGCTCTACAAAAAGGCAACATAAATCATGAGCACTATAGTCATGTAGCTCACAGAATCAAATTGCAGATAAAAGAGGACATCAGGAATCCAACACTAACCAGAAGGACAAAATGTGTAAGAGGAAAAACACCATGAAACACCAGCAGCCCTGCCTTGGTCAAATGCCGACAGACGTGACAAAGAGGAGAAGTCGCTCCACAAAACACTAAAACCATATTTTCTGCATCATTAATCTCACTCATTGGTCTCTTTGAGTACTAATAAAATGCTCCCTGTCATTAGAAACAGAGACAAATCACAACAGCATGCCTAAAAAAAATTTCTATTTGCACACACTAATTTTTACCCCTTTTTACTGGTGGATTGCTCACACTGTCAAGCCCTGATATAAACCATGTTTTTGTTTTCTGATCATGTGAAGTACTACCCTACTTTCAAAGCCTTGTGTCTTTGGAAAACTTTTTCCCTGAATCTCTTTTGCAAGTGAGTTAGACTCTGCAGACTGCTGCGACTGCCATGAATTTCTAAAATGGTAGCCTACCAACCAATGACTGGAGCCAAAAACAGCTGAGCCTAAGTATGCGTCAATTACAACCCCAAATCAGAAAAAGTTGGGACGGTATGTAAAATTCATATTAAAATAGATAATAGTGATGTGTAAACCATCTGTGTCCTGTATTACATTGAAAACAACACAGCAGCACATTATTTGATGCGACACCTCATCAGTTTTTTTCTTTGCTCACACTAAACACTCACTTCAATTCTGATGCTGCAACACATTCCAAAAAAAGTTGGGACAGTAAAGCATTTACCAAGGTGTGATGTTCCTGTTCCTTTTCACAACACTTAAAAGACATTTAGGGACTGAGGACAACAAGTGATGAAATGTGTCAGGTGTCATTTTGTCCCATTCTTCCTGCAAACAAGTCTTAAGTGCACAACAGTCCTGGGTCTTCAATGATGCAGTTTACGTTTCAAAATGCGCCACACATTCTCTATTGGGGACGGTTTGGGACAGCAGGCAGGGCGGTCCTCGGCCCATCTTTGCTCCTAAAGGGCTCAGCCTTTCCTGGGTGCCACTTTTTTTTACCAAATCATGATGCAGTCACCTGTTGACATCACCTGTTTCACATGGAATCATCAGTTCATTGTTTTACCTCATTACTGGCTCTGAAATGCAACATCCCAATTTTTTTTTGGAATGTGTTGCAGCATCAGGATTGAAGTGTTTATTTTGAACAAAGAATAAAATTGATGAGGTATCACATCAAATAATGTGCTGCTGTGTTGTTTTCAGTGTAATACAGGACACAGATGATTTACAAATCACTATTTCAGTTTTAATTTAGATTTTACATACTGTCCAGCTTTTCTGATTTGGGGTTGTACATAGTGATACTCTTCTCTCTTCTGTGAATTTTACTGGCAGATGGCAACCAGCTACATAGTGATACTGAAGAAAAGCATTTGGATGATTGAGGCGTTATAGAACTTAAGCTGTTCATAAAAATAAAAAACGATGTGTCAGATAAAAGTATTGATATCAGTGCATTTTCAAAGTCTATGTAATCGATTACATCGACTAACTGCAGCAGCCCTAAGTGGATTGGTATTGCAGGAAGTAACAGAAAAATAAGGAGCAGCCACAGTGTTTCCATCCACATTTTCAAGTTGCCATACTATCTACACAGAAAGTGTTTCAGTCCTTTGTCCCACACTCGTTCAACAGAGCAAATACAATCCTATTTTAATCCCTAATCTTAAGGACTACAACTTTAAATGAGGAAACAACTGTACTAGTGTAAAATATTCAGAGTGAGATTCTCTCCTCTGACAGCTATTCTACCTGACACTGACGTGGAGATAAATCAGCACGGCGATAATGTTGAATGAGCACAGATTACTAATCAAGTGGGCGAAAAACTAAGTCATTAATATGACGTTATTATTCTCATTTTGACTACATTCTTAAAGTCTTACCTCCTGTAGCAGGTCGGCCTGCTCAATGGCCTTTAATACATTCTTTTTGGACGTCTCCTGTGCCTCCCCACCCAATAAGAATTCATCCAGAATGAAGTAGGCCTTCTCAAAGTTGAAAATGATGTCCAGCTCACAAACCTGTTAAGAAGAAATTAAATAACACTAATTAAGAATGAATAGCATTTTAAGTCTAGGTTCCACATGTGGCAAACATGCGATAGGAATACACAAGATATGCAGTAATAAGAGATGTGAGGATACAGCACAGACGCACACTGCCAAAGTATTTATCCAGCAGCTCCACATATCTGTGGATGATCTCCAGTGTGATGAGCTCATTGTCCTGGTCCTCTATGGCACAGCAGAAGTACAAGCTGGCATATCTGAAACAGACCAGCAAGCAAACCAACTTCAATGTGATAATTCAAATAAAATTTTTTTAAAAAGTACGTTTTTTTTTTTTTTTTACCTAAGTTGAGAAACTTGAATAGGCCCGTTGATCTACTGAGGGGGAACATGTAACAGAGCTATACATATTACTTCCGTACAACAAATTCCCTGACTGTTAAAACACGCCTGACATGCATTTGAATGGAAATCTGTTTCCCTTGACTTTCCTCTGTGCTAACATAAATTGGGTCATATAAGGTTAACTGTGGGAATTCAGACACACATACTAGCTGTTCCTCTATTTTGCCTTCCGTGCCCGGCTAGATGACTCAGATCTACTGTGGGTTTACATCACAGAGCACTCACTAAGCTGCGTGCTACACTGTGCATGTGCCCAGCGATAAACTGTCATGGCGTGGTGCAAGTTAAAACAGTGGGTTTCATAGCGCAGAGGTGCTGCTGTCTGTCTGAAAGTGCCTTAAGGCATTCTTTAAGCATGTGATGACTGACTAATAAAGGCGCCAGTCAGCTGATCCCTTACAACCTTTGACCAAGCTGACGATTTTTAGATCGACAAGCACAAAAGAGCATACTGAAGCAAGTCTCAACAGCACTGGTGCTTGTTGGCCCTACTGATTACTGTTACTTGATCAGCTGCTTTCTATGAATACTTTATTGTTTCATGGTCCACTCCATCCTTGTCTGCTGCACAAATGAATGCAAGACAGAGACCAGGAAACACAATGGATTCAGTTTACTGTAGCTGTCCCTTTCTCAGACAAGTGAAGCAGCACTGTAGCTGACTCATACAGCACGACAGCAAGGAATGGCAAAAGGAAATTAAGGCGTTCCAGGGTTACACATGGATTTATTCTCAATAAAAATATTTTATAATGTTATTTACAGCTTTTAAGGGTTCTATGGTCTGTTTCATGCATGGCAGGGAATGCAAAGCCTTACATAAAGCTACATTTTCAATTACCAAGTATCAAGATTTAATTTGGCAAAAATATCACCGAGAGGAGCTCCACCAGTGACGGATTCTGCCTTATCTTTAATCCCATTTACCGCATGCATTTTGAGAATTTACATCACTAAACCATTTAACCTTCAGTCTCTTGGTTGTGATTCAGTGCAAAATGAACAACAGACAGCACAACTGCAATAACTAACATTTGGACATAAGCATGTCTTTGTGAAACCACTCTTAAAGCTGCAACATTTTGTGCATCAGCTGATTACCATAACAGCGATATACAAATCTTACACCTTATTTCCATCTCTTCTCATTAAATATGTCCACAAAGTAATAAAATAAGGAGGATTTCCAAATGTCTGTGGCTTTTTATGTCTCCTTAAAATCATAACATCTCAACCAATATTATTATTCATGGATATCTTACCCACCGTTGCTGTAAGTAAACATGTTGTTCATTTTTGGCACATAACTATTTCCAAGAACTCTTTTTTGACATCTAAGTAGGCAGGATACACTAACTTCATTAAGACAGAAAGCTGAGAGCTATGCAGAATTATGGAGATATATTCTGATCACTGCACTAGATCCAGAGGCACTAGACCTAATCATGTGTTTAATTACACTTCTATGCCCTAATTAGATGCAGCAAAAGAGTCCACTGCTGTAGGCAAAACACAGACACATGAGACTGCTATTAATAATCAGTAATTATGCTGTTTATTTTAATAATTAATTATTTTAACCCATTTAAACAAGTAAACAAACATCTGTCAGGTTGTGCAACAGTGCAAAGTCACAGACTGGCCAGCACCTTGAGTGCGGTGTTTGTGTGTCCCTGTTGGGTCACCTGAGTTCACTAGTCTGCCTGCTCATCCGTTGGCACGGCAACAGGATATAATGAGGCAAAATATCTGCTTTTTTCCTGTAGTCTGAGTGCAGTCATGATGTCTTCATCTCTGACCACACTATGTCCTGATTCTCCAACTGAGACATGTCTATGAATTCCCCAATAAAGTGGGAAAAATCCTATTTTGTGAATGTTTAACCAGAAAACGAAAAAGCCAAATTTCTACCCACCTCTTATATACAATCTTGAGGTCTCTCCACTCTAGAAAGCTGCACATTTTGGGCTTTCGAGCCAGGACTGTCTGCACCAGCTCTCTGGTGATCTTCTTTTTCTCCTTATCAGACAAAGGTATGTACCATTTCTGAAGCCTAAGCTTACCTTGTCGACTGAACAGAAGCATGAACTGCATCTGAATTGAAAAGATGAGGTGGAAAAAACAGAGGCACTGTGAAACACAATGACAGCTGAGAGGAAGGAGTTGCTGATTATCGATATCTACAAAAGGCACACAAAAAAATAATAATAAAATATTAACAACACATCTAACTAGTCAGTCACTTTTTATGTGAGGCCAGGAGTCAGACAGGACAAACTAAGGAAATTAGGACTCGTGAGAGATGCAGAACACATTACCAAGATGCAAGGCAAATTGAATTCAATCAGGTCAATCGAACTTTGGAAATTGCTAAATAAATAATTAAGTTAATACTGAATGCCAGTAAAATAGCTGCGTTACTTATTAAGCTATTGTATGTGGGGTCTGCCGTCATGTGTTAAACATAAACAGCTCACCATTCACTTCAAATTCACCCAGAACAGCTAACAAAGGCCAACATATTCCACGTTTTCAATTCAAGATACACTGCTCTGTATAACGTTAGTTACACCAAAAAGGACTAAAATCATCACCCCGCCTTTACCGTTATCAACACAACCTAGCGGAAGTACCGTTAACACCGTCATTCAGCAGCAAGCACTGGCCTGCTCTGCCTATGTCTAGTCGGTTGCGGAAACGACATGCGACCGAGTATGTTTGCACCTTTTTAAAGTAAAATATAAGATAACATATTGCGCAATGGTACTTACCATGAATAACAACACTGTATTTCCCTCTGAAGAAATGCACCAGCCACCGCTACCGTGAAACACGACCAGTGAGTATCAAACATCTCATTGGCCGGTGAGACACTCATGACGTTGTTCATTGGCTGACCTTTTTTTTCGATAATCCGCTTCTTTTCTACGCTTTAACTCAATATCTTGGATATCATTGGCTGCTTTACAAATCAATCAAGTGGATGGCCCTGTCTGGTTCCGCCCATTAACAGGCCGTGATGAGAGGCTGCAGCAGGTTAAATAGAGGTGGGAACACCCGGAATGAGGTTTGATTAAGATTGTAGCACAGCATGAGCACAGTAAAGCTGGGACCCAGAACAGACCTGTTTTGAGTATACAAGTTCTAACCTATCTTTCCATATGCTGGTGTGCAGTTTTCTCTTTTCCTTGAAGTGCTCCTGTTGGGCTCTCAGGGTGAGGATGCCAGGGATTTTGGACTATTTACATTAAGTACAATATCCACTCCAACATGTCTTGCATTTTAGGTTATATTGTAGTTCTGTCTTGTGTAGTAGCCCTTTGTTAAAATCTTTAAGACAGTCCCAGATGAATTTGCCACAAAATAACAGAAACAGAAAAGCTAGGGTCAGGTAGAATGTTTCCATAGGAGAAATTGAAAAAAACAAAACTTAGAAAAAAATCAACTGGACTAGATTTCTAGGTCGAAGACGTTTCACCTCTCATCCAAGAGGCTTCATCAGTTCTGACTGACTGGTGTTGAGCCGGAGATATTTATCCCCCTCGGTGGTGTTTCAGTCCTTTGAAGGCCAACAATTGAGTCGTTATAGCCCAGTATC